TGCGACCACAAACCACTTCTGTTTCAGTAAGGCAAGACAGTCTCAAGGCAGCCCCGGGCTCTGCCTCTCTGTCTATGTCCTTTCTGTTTAAATTCCATCAAAGGCCTCTGAATTGAGCCGTCTGAGTGGGGACAACACAGAAACAGTGTACCATCGCCGATCCCCTTCCTCGGCTCTAGCACTTTCCCTGACATTTTCCTAAATGTCAGGAGTCCTTCCTCTTGGGAGTCTTCCCACTTTTCTCCTTCTCTGCCCACTTCCATGAGAGTGTGTATTTTGCATGTGTGCCCACACCCCCATTTCCCACCTAAAAAGATTTGAATGGCAAGCCCAGGTTTCAAATCAGGAGTAAAGATCAAAAGGCAGGCTCTGTCCTCTCCAAACGCATCCCTCCATCAAAGAGAAGTGCTTAGAGAGCAGGGCATGGAGCATCTGTCACAGGGGCTGACACTGGGAGGAGTTCCATTAATTCATTTAGTGTCTGGACACAAACCAGGTGCGGACCCTGGAGACCAGCCTTTCCTCACCAGCAGGTCTGCAGACGAGGAAGAGTGCTTCAGTGGACAGCGTGTACCTGACAGGGTTTTAGCAGCGTACTGCCGGTGCTGTGTTTAGAAAGACATCAAATAGAATATGAATCCGCCCACTGCAGCCTCCCTTCCTTTTTCCCAGTGTGAAACTCTTCTAGAAAATCATATGAAATTAATAAGAAAGCCCAGGCCCACAGCTCGCAATGCTGTCTGTGTCCTGCCAGCTGAGAAGGGAGACCGTACAAACAAATCACAAACGAGCTCCACCAGCAACAGCACCCTCGTGGCACGCTGAGGAAGAAATCCCAACACTGGGAACTAGGGCAGGGCCTGTGTCCCTCTGAGACCCAAGGGACTTGCCTCACAGCCCAGATCGTTCATCTTGATCACACTGCTCCACTAAACCTTTAACAAAATCAACAGCGAGTCATTTATTCAGCTTTTCTCTCTGAAAGAAACAATAATACACCTTGCTTTTTGTCATTCTTAGAATGCAAAAGAGGAAAACTGGGGCCCTTGACCCTCAGCTCCAGTTCATGGAATGCAGGCTCGGGAAACAAATTTTATAGCAATCCATTGTAATCACCAGCCCAGCAAACACACTGTCATGCTTAATTGTGCTCTGTTTTCTGCAGTGTCCAGCTAGACTTCACATCCCCAGGTAGAGCTGAGAACAATGTCTACCATCGTGTGGTTTAATACGATCAATGTATGTTAGCTACACACTCTAAAATGACATCATGGAATCCATTCTTCTATAGAATTGATGCAAGATAATAAAAGTTCTTGAAATGGACCCCACTAGATCTTTCCACAGCTCCACCCCTGGTGTGCCCCTCAGTGAGGTTAGAACACATAAGAAACTACGCTGCCTTTGGCCTCGTCTGTGGCGAGTTGAAAACCCCGTATTTAGTGCAGTGACTCTCTGAATCCATACTTAACCACTGGCCTAACTGCACAGCTCCTTCGCGGATCCAGTCCCCCACACAGTGCACGGGCTTCAGCTCGTCGTGGCTTGTAAGAAGCAGAGAATTACAGGAATAATTATTTCACCTTGTCATCTGTCTCTCCGCAGAGTTCCCATGAGAGCTAACTTTGTGACGTCCCCAAACCAATGTTGCATGACATTTTTTGAGCACCTTCTACTTGCGATTTTTAAAAATCCAGGCATTTTCTATACCCTACCCCCAAGTTGTAAGTGCTGGGATCCTCCAGGACAGTTAGACACAGCTTGCTTCTTTGGTTTGAAATTAGTTTCTGGGTAGAAGGCAGTGGGTCTGTTTTGGTGCTCGGGATACATAAACGGACGTGTGCAGAAATGTCCTTGAATGTCCTTGATCTTGTTTCAACCATGCGTTCAACAGGCACAATTCTTCCACTGTAGTGAGTGTCCATGTGGAACAAAGGCCCTCTGCCGTGACCTGAACCACCTGAACCACACCACCCCACCCAAGCCAAAGGGAGCCCAGGACAGGGCTTAGGGGTGGCATAGGGTATCATGTCTAATTAACAGCTGTTGCCTGATACATTATAGAATGGGAACGGAAATGTCTCCCCACACAGTTTCCAAACAGGGCCATGGGGAGTGTCGTGTTTTAAATCTACTCTCCATTAAAATCTTGCTCACGGCTCTCCTAGGCGAGTTCACTCTTTTGAAAAACCACTGTAAAGCAGACACCCAGATGAGACTCTGGGATTGACTGTGGTCGCTCCTGGGATTCATTTTTACCAAAAGGAGCCTCTTCCTTGTAATGCACAGCTCTTGGTAAACTTGGGCCTTGCTGGGTGGGATTTCAGGTGCAGCCACTAGGCTTCTGGCTGCATTGGATCCCTTCCATACTGTCTTCCAATTCATCTCCTAAGTTCCTCCAAGGCTGACACATCGGACACACTTTAATACTAAAAATCAGAGGGGTAAATCAGAGGCCCCCCACAAACCACCTCCATTCTCACATTGCCCTAAATTTGGACTTTACATCCTTGCTATATTTGAGCTGCCCTTTTTAATAACATGTCATCTACCTCCCCCTACCTAAAAATGAGGTTCTGGGGTGTCAAGACCATGTAGTGGTACTTTGCCAGTGTTAAAGCAGTTTCAAGATCAGCATGCAGCTCTGCTCCCTCCTTCAAGGCCAAATGACTCAGAGGTACAGAACTGACTTGAGGTGGGGGTTGGCCTTTGGGGTCCTTTCTGCCCCGCCCAGCTTTGTGTTGGCTCAAGGGACTGGCTAGTGAGCCCTGGGAGCCTCCGAAGCTGCCTGGAAGCCGCCCTGAACCCTAAGGACTGAATTGGGGGAGGGGTGTGCAATTTGGCACTCCAGACTCAAATAAACCTGAGGTCAGAGGGAAGTCATGAAGTCTTGGGCAATCTTTGGCGACTAGCGGTGAAGGCACATTAATGATCATGTGCTGTCCACTCCTGCCTGGGAGTTGTTAAAGCTGGAAGCTACATTTAGTTCATCCAACTAAGGAAATTCTTTGGGGCCCAGCACCCTCCCCTGCAGGGAGTTTCTGGTCCCCTTTATTAATTGTTTTAAGCAGATTTAAGTTTTAGTCAAAGAAAAAATTCCTTCCTTCCAAGTAACACTTGCCTAGAGGCTTAGTAAATGGGCAGCAGTTGGATGGACACCAGGAGGAGGAGGGCTGTGAATGTGAAGGGGAGATGGACACAGGGGCTGGAAGGACTGCGGCAGGGAAGCAGGATCTGAGTCTCCAGGACATTGGTCCATGTTGAAGGAGCTAACACTAAGGCTGTGTTGCTGCCTCGTGGAGAGCTAGGCTCAGGAAGTACAGATCTGCCCTAATTACAGGTTCAGCAAAAATGTGATCCCAATTGTGGGGTTCACCTCAGGAACATGAGCTCCTCCTCGGAGGCTCACACAGTCAAGGGATCCTGCAGAACCGAGTGCTCGACTCAGGAGGACCTTGCTGGGCCTCAGCAGGGGATGAGTGGCAGAGCCATTGTCGCCACAGGCTATGCTGGTCTCGCCATCCCTCCTTGATAGGAAACTGCTTGTGTTTGGGGAAAAACTGTCCACTCAACCATCCCTTCTTGGTGCAGGGAAGGTGAGCTGACCACAAGCCCAGTGTTTCTGAAGTCTTTGGAGCCCAGAAGAAAGCCCCTCTCCCAAGCACGGAGGAAAAGGAGCCTTGTCCTTTCCCCCCCACACACACCTCCTCCCTGGCCCCACTCTTCAGAGAACCCCACATGCACTTGGACACCAACAGGCACCTGGTTATCAACCACTACAGCATTGCAGTCTGAGTCTGGTTCTTCCAGTTGGTCACCAGTGACCTTGAATTAGTTTGTTTCTCTGAGCCTCCGTTTCCTCATCTGTCACCATTGCCCAGAGTATTGGGAGGCTCACAGAAGGGGACACGTGTGTGGGAGTGCTTGGCACGGCTCTCAGCACTTGCTGGAGGCAACTGTCTGCTGCTGCTTCCGGGGTTGCCTGGAGACTCCCATCTCCCACCCCAGATCCACCCTCCTCCTCCCTGAGCTCTTGGCTCCAAGCCAGGCCTTGTTCCTCAGTGTTGAGCTTGTCTTGCCCGTCTGCCTGTTGTTTGCATCCAAAGTCGCCCATCAGCGAGAGAAACGCAGTGAGGAGGCATTTTATTCCTGAAGTTGTTAATTTTACTCTAGACTTCCAAGAAAAGATCAACCATCTGTCAAACATTTTTTTTTTAAATAACAGACAAGGAAGATAACAGATCTCTCAAAGTAATTAAGTGCCAACCAAGAGGAAATGAAAGCGGACTTGGCTCCGTTTCAAGTTGAATGAGAATTGCATTGTATAATCCTGTCTTCCTATGAAAGATACAGTCTTGTAAAAACATATACAAGCTATCAGTTTGCCCAGCAAAGCCTATTCTGTACACACATGCTCAGAGGAGGGACTTGGGGTTGGAGATGAGCATCCTCTCCTGCCAACACCTCCCCCTGTCTCCTGTCTCGGAACTAGAGACCATGAAACTCCTCAGGCCAGGACTCTGCCCGTCTGTCCAAATGCTGTGACCAACTGATGAACAGCAAGGCCACTCTACTGGCAATGTTTCTGGAAGAGCAGCCACCCGGGTCTTCCACCTGCCTCCTGAGGCTTGCTTTAGGGGTGGCCAGCACTGCAGGTTAACACTTGGGGTGGTGTTCCCAAGAAACACATTTGAAGGCACACTCCCTGGAAACACCAACCCTCAAAGACTCAACCAACCGGCCTTTTTCTTCGGAGGTCCAAAACCCAAAGCGCTCCCCAAAGTCACAGGTCAGAAATCAATTCTTTCTCTTCCTAGCCTTTCAAAAGTTACAAACTTAGCCAATTTTTGCACTGCCATTCAAACCCGCTGTGGGGAGCATCTGTCCTAAAGCAAATAAGGACAGGATCCAGGCAGTCCTCAGCCGGGCTGGGAACCCTGCTTGTTTTCTGAGACCCCCGTGGATACAGACCCTTCTGCTCACGCCCAAGTGCAACTCACCTCACTCATGTTGGCCTGACTCCAGCAGCCGGGTCTGGGTCCGCAGCTCAGCACAGACCTCACTGCTCAGGGGTGGCTGCTCCGGGTCCTGGCTTCTCTCTTAAAAAGAGCTGTGGGGTGGCATCATGCCTCCCGCCAGCCAATGGGATGCATTCACCTGTCTGAACGCCTGCAGATAAACCAGAGTGCAAGGGGCCACCCAGTGGAGAAACGCGGTTCTGCGGCAGGTCTCTGCTCCAGTTCCGGAGTCGCTGCGCTTTACCACGCCTGGATATCCACCCTAAGGACCCCACATCCTCCCAGAAAGATTCCTGAGCATCCACGGCCCTGGCTGTTCTAGTTGCAATAGCAAAGAAATGGGATCAGCGTCGAGGACGCCCATCAACAGATGAATGGATAATGAAAGTTCAGTACCCATTCACGGTGAGATTTTATTCAGCCATAAAGGAAAAAGAAATCATGACATTTGCAGGGAAATGGACAGACTACAGAATTATATTAAGTGAGGTAACTCGGACTCAGAAAGACAAATGTTGCATGTTCTCCCTCATATGTGGATCCTGGCTTCTAATGTGTGCGTGTGTGTTTATGTGGGAGTAGGTGTGGGTGGAGGTCATAAAACTAGAAAGCGGATCATGGGGGTAGAAAAAGAGGTTTTAAGGGAGGTAGGTGAGTAGGGTAAGATAGGACATGTGATATGAGAGTGGAAAGGGAAATACTGAGGGATGGGGAGGCCAAGAGACAGGGAAACCAGGGCGAGGGGTCAGTCAAAACTAAGTATGAAAATGCCATAAGGAAATCAGATACTTTGAAAGCTGCTTTTGAAACAATTTAAAGGATGCATGTAAGTCACAGGTGCACAGATGATCACAGGATTGCCACTGTTGATTTACTGGAAAGATCTGGGGGTTCATACACTTGGGGAAGAAATTTCACATGTCAGTGGGTAACTGGTTTGCTGTCCCGAGAAAAGCAGCTCTGAAAACTCCTGTGCAATGGCCCTTGTCCCTCCTCTGGTGGGACCCCAAGTGCCACGTCTGATGCCCAGGAGCTGTTTAATCCCTCCTTTTATAGGATGGGAGGGTACCAGCCTTAGCCTTTAGCGTTTGACATCCTGTCCCTACTCCCCACCCCCATCTATCTTCCTGGCATAGAGGGCATGACAAGGTATCATGCATGACCTTTGGACTGTCACACTCTTGAGTCCCACTTGGCAGTGACAGGAGAGGAGATCAGCTTGGCTTCCCATGGCTGTCACAGCCTGGCCGGCATGGGGGTGGAAACAGTGTGGACTTGACCACAGGGAATGTCTCCTTGCCTCAGCCCTGTGCAGCCTTCCTGGGAAGAAGTTCCATGGTTTGCTGGGCCCTGAGCTTGGGAGCCTTGGTCTCTACAGTGGAGGTGTCTGGCAGGAAAGAAGTGTTATATCTCAACTCAGGTGAGAGTTAACAGGTCTCACACAAGCACGTCAAGTACTCCTGACCCCTTCTCTACTGCCTCTCCTCCCTGCTCAGGGCAGGGCTTGTATCCCACCCTGACCACCTACCTTCTCTTCTCAGCTCAGCACCCACTCTCTCCTCCTCCCCAGGCTGTCAACCTTACAGCCCTCCTCCATGTGTCCCCAGGGGGAAACCAGCAAGGCTAGGAGCTCCACTAAGATCCCTGGTCCAGGCATGTGGGTGTGAATGGGGCAGAAAGCAGCAGGCCAGGGCCAGCCCCATGGCTCCTGCAGGAGCCCAAATTCCTAGTTCAGAGCCATCATCATGGGTGTCACATCTACCAACAAAGGAGAGCACAGTGAGTTATCAAGGTACACATTCCATAGAGGGACCTGTGTGATATACGACATATGCATACACGTACATTACTATGCATGTGCATTATATGTACATGTAACATTTTATTGCACGTATGTTACATGTACATATTGTATTCTGTATATACAAATTATAGTTATGTATCTTGACCACACCAACTAATAAAGGCCACATCCTCCTTATCCTCTCCCTCCTCTTCCCCTCTGTACCTAACCCATCCTTGTGAAAACTTGGGCATCATACCCCTAAGGCATCTCCAGGGGGCTGGAGGTAGGAGAAGACAGGGGATGACTGAAGTCAGGACCAGAAGCCACAGTGCCATCTGCTCTACATTCTGGGGGGATGGGGAACTACTCAGCTTCACCAGGAGAACCAGCAGCTTCTCAGAATCGGAATTCTCCCTTCCAGGAGATGCCTATCTTGGGAAGTTGAGCCCAGGCACTATCTGGTAGAAGACACAGTCCCTCAGAGACAAACTTCACAGGGATCCTTATTTTACAGCCTGGGCTTCTGCAGAGAGAAATAGCAGAAAGGAAAGAGAGCTAGCCCATACCTGCTCACCAGACCCTGCAGCAGACCTGAATTTTCTAACTCAAAACAATGTGTGTGCTTGCAGTATCCCTGAGGCTTGAGGAAGAGGAAATAGATGCTAGGCTTCCGAGAGGAAGGGCTGAGATTAGGCACGCAAGGTAGGGTTGCAGAGCTGCAGCTTTACTGAGCAGCATGTTAACTGTTGGGGATGAAAGTGGGAGAGACCACGGGGATGAAAGTGGGAGAGACCATGGGAGATGTCATGGTATGAACTGGGCACCACTTCCCAATACTAAGAATTGGACTCCTAATCCCCAGTCTCAAATCATGGCTGTATTTGGACATGGGGTCCTTACAGAGCTAATCACATTAAGATGGGGTTGTTAGGACTGGCCTAATCCAAGAGGCCTGGTGTCCTCACAAGAGGAGATTAGATCACAAGTACACAGAAGGCAACCATGGGGTGGGGATGGGGCACAGAGAGAGATACCATCTGCAAGTCTAGGAGAGACCCCAGAGAGAACTGAGATGCCTTGATCTCTGACATCCAGTCCCAGTGTCTGCAGCATAAACTAGGGACTCTGTTGAGGAATACTTATGCACCCATGCCAATGACATGGCCCTAGAGAGATGTCTCAGAGAGAAAGTAGATGCTCCTGAGGAAGCAAAGTTATACCTGTCTGACACTTGGAGGGCATCCTACCTCCTCCTTTCTATGGAGAATCTTCAATAGAACAACTCCCTCCTGTGAGTGGAGTTGCACCTGTTTGCTTTGAGAAAGCAAACACCAGGTATGTCCACAGAGGCACAGCCAGGCTGCCGTGGGAAATGGGTGCTCACAACTGCCTGTGAGAGTGGAAGACAGGCCCTCTGCACATGCTTATGAGCAAGTGCCACCTACAGGTGGGCACCAAGCACATAGCCAACATCTCCCCACAGGTGACTGGTGCATCTTCAGGACTGTAGGGCCTCAGGAGGACCAGCCATCAGCCTGAGAACAAAAGGACTCCGTAGCCATCATCTCCCCAAGGAAAGTGACAGCAAATGTTCTCTAACCTTCCTGAGTGGTTCTGATCCGCAGTCAAGTTTGAGAGGCACTGCTTCTCAGTGATGGGGACAGGGACTCATGCACACACACAGGTATATATACACATAAACTCATACACACACATACGAATATATACAAATGCATACATACACACATACACATATGCACATGCCTGTGCACATATACCCATATATGCACATACACACACAAACATACACATATACATGCATGTATTCATGCAGACATACAAATCCACATGCATATGCACACACATACACTTATTCATGCATACATACACAAACATGCACACACGTGCACATGCATATGTACATGCACATGCATACCGACATGTGAAAATATGCATATACACATACACATATGCACATGCATGCCCACATACACCCATATTCATAGGTACACAGGATATTCAGGCACATATATATAGACACACATGTATGTATGCATACACACATACACACATACACACACATACAATGCACACACATATCCATCACTCCCTCCACTCACATTTTCAGGCTTCCTCTCCTGCCCCGCACCCTCCTCTTCTCCCTGTTTTGGGGTCCACTTGGTTATTGTTCACTGTTAAGTACCGATGTCCTTCAGTATCCGAGGGGATCCACTGGAGGATTCCTCCATGGATGTCAAAATCCACAAGTACTCAAATCCCTTGTATGAAATGGCACAGACCTTGCAGAGGGCCCATGCCCACCCTCCTGCGTGCCTCATGTCATCTCTGGGTCACCCTAATATGAAGACCGTGCCAGCGCCGCGCAGATAGTCGTACTGTGCTCCTTAGGAAATAACGAGGGAAAGCCCGTGCAGTCTGTGCAGGTGCGGTGTTCTCTCACGTTTGCCCTCCACGGCTGGTTGCTGTGCAGGTGGGGGGGCCAAGGATATGGGGGGCCGCATATGTTTCCTATGCGGCAGTTTTCTACAGATCACACAGCCCACCGCGTTACATGGCGGTCGAAGCAACAGGCCAGAAACTTAGAGCTGGAGTCCCTGACGTGACAAATAGCTTTCTGTGTGGCTTTGTCAAAGGTCTCTCCAGTCCTCGGGATCTGATTCTTCTGCTGGTGATACTGAAATACTGAAACCTTACCTCTGCTAACCTAAGCAAAAAAATGTATGTGCTAAATGTATTGAGCTGCGAAATAAATATTGAAAGAACTTCGGGAGAATTAGACAGTTTCACAAATTTGTGTTTCACTCTGCTGGATTACAATATAGACCATAGTCTGCAATTTATGAAAACTCTGTGTGTGTGTGTGTGTGTGTGTGTGTGCATGTGTCTGTGTGTCTGTGTCTGTGTGTCTGTGTCTGTGTGTCTGTGTGTGTCTGTGTGTCTCTCTCTGTGTGTCTGTGTGTGTCTGTGTCTGTGTCTGTCTATGCAGGGACATTATCCAGCCCGAAGGGACAACATTGGACAAGGAAATCTGTGGTGTTATTTGCAGATACACTATACTGTGAGCTGCGGGGTTCTAATCACGGTTTATACGAAACGTATCATTTACATGCAATCCCTCTGGCCTGGAGGTGAGGGGTCTTTTTAAGCCTACCTTGACCCAAGTCTAGTGTAATTCCAGCTACTTGAGGAGCTGGGGCAGAAGCCAGTACAAAGACAGCCTGGGCAACTTAGTGAGACTCTGTCTCAAAATAAAAAGCAAAAAGGGAGTTAATAATATAGGTCAGT